CCCGGGGGCTGCGCGGGGCGGCACGGCGGAGCTTCGGGTGGGAGCCGCTGTGCCGCGGCGGAGTCCGGCCTCGGGCTGGGCCGGGCCCGTGGCTTTCAATTAGTTGCAAGGAATTCGACACACCTTACAAGGACTGTGCCATCCGCGTCTGCTTGAATTGCTCTGCTCAGCTCTCAGCGTCAGCTGTCTCATTTCCAAAACACAATTAACTGTAAATGTCGGGAAATACTGTAGTTCCGCAAATAAACTGTACCGTCTTCTGCTGTGAGAGTGTATAGAAATACAGCATACTACTAATCATAGAATCATAGAATGGTTTGGGTTGGAAGGGACCCCTAGAGGTCATCTAGTCCAAGCCCCCCGCAGGAGCAGGGACACCGCTAACTAGATCAGGTTGCTCAGAGCCCCATCCAACCTGGCCTTGATAATGAGATAATGTATCATCTCAAAAGCTAATGAATAAGAAGAGACTTTAGGGAAGACTACTGTCTATTTCAAAAATAAATGTGAGGTAATAAGAAAAATAATAGATGAGACTAGTGTAAAACAAGGCTCTCATTTAATCTAAATTTCATGTGGAAGAAGAGGAGGGCAGGTGCTCTTTTTGCCTGGTATTGGGAGATCTGCATTTTATGACCCCCACAGGGAAATCATTCCCTTTGTGATTGAAGAGAAATGAAGCGAAGGAAGAAGTCAAGCACGAGATAATTATTCTCAAAATCCTGCCTGCCTGTGTCAGAATGTAAGCAGAAAATTGCCCAAGGACCAGAAGGATTTGAAGGACCACAAAAGGGATGGTAAAAATCCCTGAATTGGGTAGGAGTATGGTGTTAATAGCAAAATGATGTATCCGTTGAGAGATGGCATGCAGATACCTAGAAAGATACCTGGGGTAAGGAGTATGGTGTTAATAGCAAAATGATGTATCCATTGAGAGATGCTGATAACCTCGTGGCATGCAGATACCTAGAAAGATACCTGGGGTGGACTAAGCCACTTTGGGCCTCTGCTTATGTGTGGATGCGTAGCTTTTGATTTTAGATTAATGCATTAAAGCGTGTTGTCTAATACCTTTGCTTACCACAGGTCACGTCTTCCGGTTAAGGTGGGTGATCTCTGAAGAGCTGCTACATCTCTTAGAAAGACGTAGTCTTAACTGACACCTGAAGATTCTCATCACTTGAAATACCGTTCAAAGGCTTTATTATTTTGAACTCTTTAAAGAATACTTTATGTGATGGGAATTCATTCAGTTCATTTATTTCCAGTTTGCATGTGTCCTATATGTAATTTCAAGTCATACCGCTTTCCTCTTGATGATGGGAGCCCCTTGTGAGGTTGTGTTTTCCCAGAAGCAAGAGGAGTTTGGATCGACTGGAACTTATTTAAAATTTTGGAATGCTGTATGTGGGGGGTTAAACAAGTAGGTTTTGAAACTGTTCTGCTTGTCAATTGTAGAATTTGGATTTGATGTAGTTATTTGTGAAGGTAAAAAAATCACATGTTGATTATGGCAGAAGTTAAAAGAAAAAAAATAGGTGCCCTTTTCCATTGACTTCAGCAGTCTGTATAGGCATCTGAACTCCTTCAAGGATCTGAGCCACTTCTGGCAATTCAACAAAGTGCAGAGTGCCTTATTTTCTCTCTCTCATGTGTGTAAAAGGTACTTTCATCTTATCTGTTCCACTGCCATACCACTGGCGAATTATGTGGCAGTGGAACAGATGTGATACATCACCTCTACAGCACATTCCAGTTAATCTGTGTTGTCAACGCTGGGAGCCAAGTCAATAGATGAGGAGATATGATGCAGCACCATTAAGCAGCCCAAATGGTATTTTTTTCTTTGGAATGATACCAGCTTTTCTTTCAAATCTATTGTAATATATTTTGAGAAGAGTTTGGGATGTCATTGAAAAAAGTGAACATCTAATTTTTGCTTTTTTTCTGATTGTTGTAAATATTTTGCCACTAGGTATGAGCATCCTTCAGAGGAAAGAGGACATCTTTTCAGACTGTAAAAAGAAATTTTGGAATACCTATAAGGTGAGGCAAGCAATTCGCTTATCTCCCAGCTAAGAAAAAATAGTATTATTGGATAAAAAATATTTGAAATATTCCTTCCTCCAACAGCCTTTGTCTCACTCCATTATTTGATTATCTGTAGGCAGCTGTAAGTACCAGCAGTCTTGGGAAGTCGGGGTAGTCTGGAGCAGGCCCTGCTGCCAGATGGGTGAAATGATGCTGTTTTAAAAATGTACGATGTTTATATACCTCGCACTTGCACCCATCTCTGTTTAAATGAGTGCCCTGCAATACAACACCAATTAAGATTGTACTTCGTTTTATCTTAAGTATGACACACCGGTGTTTAGTTAGTAATGCCGTTGACAACACTTAACATGAACACCTGTTAAAATCATTGGTTAGAGAGACATCTTTTTTAGGAATCGTTTTCAGCCTGTACTTTTCAGTGACAGTCTTCTCACTTTCAGAAACACAATCCCTTGTTTCAAGAAGACTTTGATATAAATAGCTGGGTTTGGTTTCTATTTCTGCATGCACAGGAAAAAATTACTTGTGCTACCTCAGAGCTGAGCAAATGAATTTTAAAGATTTCTCAGGTGCAAGAATGATAGACTAGCAGAAAAAATATAATAGAAGGAGAAGCTGTGATGCAGTGTGAATTTCTCTTCACACTGTGGAACTATATAGGTAGGATAGAAGGCTTATTTTTATTCCTATGGAGGATGATTCTAAAAACAGTGCCTGCTATATCCTATCAAAACATAAGGTTTCTATTGACCTTATGTTCGATGAGTAAATTAGCCATTGATTTTTGTAAAAAAGCCTTACATGTATGAGTAACTAGAAGGAGCATTGCAAGTGTGAAATAAATAGTGTTCAGTGGTATTTTTCATTCATGGCTGAAACAAATGTTCACATATTTAAACATTTGTTTGCCCATCTGGTAATTGTGGTTATGTATCTGGTGTCAGGTGACTATGAAGACTTAATTGTGCTTAGAGTTTTGTGTTTAAAATGAGTTAGAATAATGTGTTTGAGAGGCTAGAGCATAGAGGTTCATGAAAGTGATTAGAAGTTTAATATTGCGACCTGTAAGTTAAGCAACTTAATTTACAATTGAACAGCTCTTACTAACTTTAATCCAATATGTTTCAGTCTTTGCTAAATGTGGTAAGAAAAAAAAATGAATCTTTGTGGTTGAAGTCCATAAGAATAACAAATGATTCATTTTCATTTCAGACGGGACTGATGTACTGGCCTTTTGTGCAGGTGAGTTTTTAGGTTAACTCAGTGAGCCTTCTTTCTCATACAACCTGATCCGATGCATTCGTGGTGTATCTAACCCAGTGAGAAGTCAGTAGAATTGCTGGATGTGTAGGTGTAAGACCTAACAATGCCTGGAGCACTAATTGAGCTCTCTCTCCTTCCAACACAGCTATCAAACTTCATTTTGGTCCCTGTTTACCTGCGAACAGCTTACACTGGGCTTTGTGGCTTTGTCTGGGCTACCTTCATTTGCTTTTCCCAACAGAGTGGAGATGGCACAGCAAAGTCAGCATTTATGTGGCTCCAAAGAGAGAAGGTCAATGCAGATGAAGAATCATCAGAGAAATAAGAACTTTAGTTCTGAACACATTCTAAACTGTTAAACTGAGTTTATGAGTCAGTCAGCGCACTGCAGCCTCATTGCTGTGTTTAGAATGAACAGTCATCTCAACTTTGTTGGTTAGTATAAGCAGTGGAACATTTTGTCTTTGTGCCTGTTTATTTTTCATAAAAGAGGCCAGTTGTATATTGGCTTTTAATTATTTTCATGCTGCCAGCCCATCTCTTCTGGGAACAACTGACTTACAGGGCAGTGTTAGCATTTGCACATCATGTCAGACTGCCTCACTGGAGAGAAATATTAACTGTAATTTAATTTTCAAGCAACTTGTAATTGCTAGAAAAAGGAGAATAGAACATTAAATCATTTGGTGTCTGACTTGACAATTGTTATCAGTGCAAGATTGCTTTTGCAGAACAAAATGTAATGGATTTCTTATCTAAAAAGTGGCATTGAATCTGTTTTATTCAGAGAAAACAAAAGTGCTGTGTTTGTAGGGACCACTTCTCTAGAGGGGCAAACTTGCTTTATTCTACATGAAAATATATATAGCAAATGAATTATTTCATAGAATGTACAAACCTGAAATATATTTATACATCTTTTAATTGGGAGAATAACAATAACTAACTTTGGTCAGAGTTCTTTGGGGTGGATGCTGCATATTCACACCTGGGGGAAGCATCAGTCATAAGCAGCTCCTGCACAATGGAACCTAACTAAACACTGCAGTGAGCTTTTGCTGTATCTGTCAATGACTTCTTCCTTTGCCCCTCAAGGGTCATTATGTTCAAAATATAATTAAGATTTTGAAAAAGAACATGTGAAAGAAGGTAATGTGAATGCCAGAATCCATCTCAAAACATTCCAGCTGTATGTAAGGAACTTCCATTTCTTCTTCAAATGGCTTTTACACTGGGTAACTACACATAGGAGACTAGGAAAAGGTGAAAATTAATTCTAGATCTGCTTTGTCAACTGAAGATCAGGTCTGGGTGCAGGTGTGCTCATTGGTATTTTTTAAATGTGCACATATATCTCAGAACAGGAGCTGTGCAAATTTCTGAGATTGCAGTAAGTTGAAATCAGACTAGTAAAAGAGCCCTTGGTTTACTAGAATGGGATTTTATGCCTTGAACTTACTAAATTGTAAGCTTGAAACAATATCTTATTTAATCCATTTCAATGATGATTGTAAAGAAAAGACTCAACCCTCTTTGTTACAATAATAATAAACCACTTTGAGGAATGTCTGAATTCCTCAGTCTTGTCTAAATAGTAAACCAAAGCCTGCTTAAGCTGTAAACATACATTCCTTTGGCCAGCAGCTGTACTGCTTACAATTATTTGTCACTGTAGGAGCCCAATGCTGCTGAGCTCAGACAGGGAAAGGGATAATGCAAGCACTGCTCAATCTATTCCAGGTAAAATCAAGTTTAGCATAACTCGGTGGTCAAGAGTGATGCAGGGTACCCGTATGGTTTTGACTGCAGGACTACAGCAGATGGGAGGAGGATAGATGGCAGGGGGGCTGCTTCTACAGTCTGTTTTGCTGGCAGACAGATGGAGAAGGTACCTTCCCTCTCAGGAGAGACAAGTCACTGCAATTCCATCTTCATCTGCACAGGCAGACCTGGAAGAGGACACCTGCTTATGATCCTAAGGTGGAATTAATTTGAATTGACTTTTGACACCTGTAGTGTGGACATCTGGAACTTGGCTAACCAGTTTAAGGAGGAAAACAGGCAGTTTTAGACATGTGTTTTAGGGCATGGTGAATTGTGCACTGTGTCTATTTCTTCCCATCGATAATGGAGTCTCAGGTGACTGCCTGCTGTGTAGATAGCTTCACTGTAGATGCTCGTATTTGGTGAGTTGAATTCCCCTGGCTGGTGTCTATCTTGCATGTCTCTATGGGACCAATTTAGTGGGTCTTGCTGCGTGAATCCCACGGTGTGAATTGGACAGTCCTGATGCTGGACATCCCAGTAGGAGTCGAAATCCACAGAGGAACTAACTGCATTTTATCTATTTAAAAAATGAAAGATGAGTGAATAGATGTTTCAGACAGCTATAGCTGTTACATTGTTATTGTGCATATAAAGTCCTCAGGATAAAGAAGCAATTTCAGTAGTGTTTTTTCTGTTGATATTTTTAGAATCAGAATAGTGTTTTGAAGTCTGTTCTATTCGGTGAGACTTAAAAGTTTCAGATAAGGTGTGCTAATTAAGTGTTTGACCTTTTTGTACAGATGCTATTTATTTTTATTTCTGCTTGTGCCTTAAGTGTTTAATGATTAATAGAATTTACTTGGAGAAGGGAACTGGAAAATAATGACATTACAAGGAGAGTGAAATAGTGAAATGGTGTTGGTTTCCTGTCAGCAGTATGCAATGTTCTGCTGCAGCTTAGTGCAAAAAATATTTCTGCATGGGTAGAGTTGGTAAAACTTAATCCCCAGGTGAATCAAGAATTTTAAACCATTCTCATGATCTGTAAAATGCTATGCTTTACTTCACCAGGATTATTTAATGAATGGAAGACCCATCTTTTATTTTAAACAGCTTAAAAGCTTATACAAGCTGTGCTTTATTGCTCTGTGGTTTTGTGCTGCTAGGTTTTTGCTTGGGAATTTGAGCTAAATCCTGCTTTGTCTTCAAGTTTCTCTGACTGTGGGCTTCAGGGTTTCTCTCCATATTTCTATTACTTGAAGAACAGTTTTTCATGTAGTGGAAGCCTGTAACTCTTATATTCCAGTAGACTTTAGATTCTGCATAATTCTTTCACTTCCTCTGTTTCTTATGTCAAGGTACTTGACAGTTAAGTAACCCAAGTCCCTTTTCACGTAAAAAAATCTTTTTTTTTTTTTTTTTTTTTTTTTTTTTAAATTATGAGCACTGATTGGTCTAACGAACTTTTCAGACCCACAAAATACAAAACAATGAAATTGTTGGGACAAATTCTCAGTGTGCATAAATTAATGCACCTTCTAAAGATTTTCTCCCTCTGTCAATTTAGTCTGAGGACCTAACCCTTTAGTTGTTAAAGACTTCATTATTTCTTGACAGTTTTTTGACTCAGAAGATTAATTTCGCAGAGTAACAGAATGGTTGAGGTTGGAAAGGACCTCTGGATTTCCAGCCCAGGTCATCTAGTCCAACCCTATTTGACACATACAAACTTTTGTTTGCTTCTTCTAGTAGTTCAGCAATTTCTTAAGAGAAAAAAAGAAAAAAAGATGGGTAAGACTTGTCCTAATGTCTTTCCACCACCCTTTCAAAAACAGCCGTATGAGCTTTATGACTATTTCAAGGAATTGCACTGAGCTTATTGCCAGCTGAACATGCAGATTTCCATAACCAGAAAGACGAACAGAATTATGCATCACGTAGGTGCTCAGGAAGGAGGGAACACACTGCCAATAGCTACTAGGCATGTATTCAGGTGACACTTTCATGTCACGGTCCTCTCTAAGAGCAAATGGGGTGAGAAGACATTTATGTCAGGTGCAGTTCCAGCTTTGTGTTTTTCTGGAAAGCTGTGGAGATGTAGAGTCTGAATTTGATAAAATGAGAATTTCAAAATGTATTTTTCTACTGCAAATCTTTTATGCAAATGTACCTCCTGTGCTTGCTGGTATGCGAAATATATCCTTCTAGGCTTGGAAAATTCACCAGGCCTCTATCTTTTTCACACCAGAAACAACCATCCAGTAACACAGTATAAAATAACCAGTTTCATACTGCAGTGAAGGTGAAACTGCCTGTACTTTGTTACCATGTCTGATACATTATGTTATTGTATAGCACAACCTTTGAAATCTATGCAGCTTCAGCCTTCTGATTCTCTGCTCGAAGTGCCAATGCTTTCTGCTCGTGCTGCTGCCTCCACTGCTAGTGCAAATCCAGTGAGATGTGCAAGAAATACTTGAATTTGACTAAAATAATGAATATCAAGTAGACTGAAAAATGCCTGTGTTTTTGTAATGGCTTAATAAACATTAAATACTGTTCTTTGGCTGTGTCTGTCTTTAACTAGTGTGTGTATAAACAAAACCAAGGCTTATGCAAAGTTCTTATGGGGTCTTTGTGGACCACATACAGCAAAAAGCTCAATTTCATGTCATAGACCTTAGCACAGCAGCAGAGTAGAAGATAAGCAGGGATTATTCACTCCCTTTAAACGTTAGTTACACACATCAAGTCATCTGCCACTTCTGAACAAATTCAGAACAGAACTCCCATTTTCAAAGCTTTATGCTGAAGCCAGTGGATTTAATTTGTCTTTTATTAAAAACAGGTAAAACTTTGATACCATTTTCTGTTTAGATAATTAATACGTTTGCAGAAGGAACTGAGGAATTCAGGCAGGAAAAAGATATAAAAAACTTTTAAAGAGAACAGAGGTTAGCAATGGGGTCCTTATTGAAGGACTACACTCAGTGTAGTTTGTGTGGGATACTTTTGGGAAGGAAACTGTTCAGAAAATTTGAGGCTGAAGGGAATAATGTATTCCACAACTGGAAGCGAGACACCACCTCCATTCCCTGCTGTAACTTCTTGTATATTTAGAATGAGGAGGAAGCTTTATGGAAAGGTTTCAAGTTGAAAAATTCTATTTCATAGACTTCATGGCCAACAGGGACAAAAAAGATCATTGAGTCTGAATCCTTGCATAATGCAAAGCAAGGAGTTTTTCCTGAATCAAACCAGTGATGTCAAGTCTCATGCCATCTTCTGGAAGGGTATCCAGAAACTTCAAATAATGGAGGATCTTAAGAAATTATTTATGTATTTTTCTGAAATTTTATCACCTAGCTAAATCAATCTAGCCTTAACATTCTAGTAAGATATTGTCATTCCCTTTCTGACAAGATTTAAAGAGTTGGTACAGCAGGCAAAGCCGCCTATGTGCATTTAGTGGTAAACTGTTAAAAGTTTTTATTCCTTGGATAAACTACAGTAGGTTTAGCTCTGTTAGCCCCTTGCTAAATCATTCTTCAGGCTCTTTTGGGAACCCTTTTTTGCTGTGCAACCTCTAACGTGAAAGGTAGACAGGTAACACTATGTAAAGATTAATCCCAGTGTCCATTTCACATATGCCTCGCAGATAGATAATATTTTTTTCTACTTCTGCTTAATATTCCTGGGTTTAAGCAACCGAAAACTGTATGTGCTCCCTTAATTTCAAAGTTGCACTGAGAATTCACATTCATTTGCCAGTCCACAATGATCAAAGTTACTGTGATCCATTTTAAACAAGAACAAAGAATGCAGATCACATATCTGTATGAATGGTGCATATACTCAATACCATCCACCCTAATAAATACTGCCTTCCCTTTCTTTGGAGTTTATTAATTTAATGTTGCAGTGCTCAAAAGGCTTGCAGCATATACCCAGATAGAAAAACAGACTTCATTGCAAAGAGTATAGTAAAATGCATCATTCCCTCTGTGCAACGCTAGTAACAATTACAGGGGGTTTGTGCTGAGAG